GTAAAATTATTATCTCTTTGAGGGAAGCTAATTTTTTCATTCATTACATCATCAGCAGACAGCTAGGAGGGCACTCAATTACCATGACAAAAGTGAATGTAAATCAGGGTCTTAACAGATGATATTACAGTTGACGGGAACAATATGCTAAAGTCATCTAATGGAGATATGAACACATCAGTTGAGCATCTGATATTGATAACAAGTTTAATAAAACAGGGCCCTCAAAATAATGATTAATATCATCCAAAGGATTTTGACAAATATACCCCTTCCTATTTTCCTACATATAAATTAGACACAAATGAACAAATTTTAGAAATTATTTAAGATGCGAGCATGCTGCTTTTCTCTTTAGTATGACAATACTGACCTTTGATATTTAACCCTGGATATCATAATTTGTCGTTGTTGAATGTATAATGTAATTGCTGCAAACCAATCTTATTCTTATCACGAGTATCTTGAACTGTGAAATTGTAAATTACTTCTATTGTCTAAGTCTATTGTCTTTTTTTTTATGATTAAAAATGTTAGAAACAAAACCGGTATTGAATTGCATTGACGTACGTGGGGGACACCAAGCTGCGAAAAACCATGAATAACTTGAGACAACAGATGAATATTTGATGCCAGTAGAACTGATTTGACTTAGAGCACACACGTATGTAAAAGAGAGCAGCTACGGGGCTCCCTCTTGCACCACAGCGGGCATAAAGGCGATGAGCGATCGTCTCTTTACAAATGTGTGATGGCACCTTAAGTTCATGTCGGCTAAAATGGGTTGGGTACTACATCAGCCATTAGGGTGTATACCTGCACAGGCATTGCATACTAGTAGCACATTGTGACTTCTATTTTATGAGGGAGGGCAACGGAAAGGGGTTTCTTCACAGTCAAGCTTTTAACCCGATTGTCATCACAAGTTGTGTTGTAGGTAATGAATTACTCAATTTATTTATGTTTTAGTTTGTTCCACCAAAGCTTTTGAGGTAGCTTAGTGAGATGTAGCGGCATGAAAAGAAGCGTTTGGAATGCAAAATGCATAATTGTTGAAAATCATGATTCTACCACACAAAAGTAGAACCTCAACAGTACGATATGGAGCTGGTACATGCTTAATGTTAGCTAAACCTTCTTTCCGATATGTAAAGAAAGAACTTTTAATTAACAAACATCATAAACTATTAGCATTTTGGTGTTCCACAAGGATCTGTTCGTGCCACTACATCTTTCGCTTAATAGCTACCTAAAGACAACATGAATTGGTATAAAAAGTATAAAATCTCGGAATGATTAATAGTTGGTAGCCAATAGGGAAACTGTTAATTCTCAATGACTGACCTAAACTGATCATAAATAGGCAGAGTTCACAGGAATGTTAGAATTTGAAGCAAAAACAAAAGGCTTTGAAGTGAGGTAGGAAAGCAAGTAATGTTACAAGAGATTTAGCCTGCAGAACAAAGGTGCATGTTGACATTTTCTAGGCATTCAATTTGACCTTTTACTTGGAAAATAAACCCTTAATTTGAAACAAAAGCATCATAAATCCTGGCAAATGCCACTTAAGAATTTACATAGTGCACTATTTATTTGAGCTGTAGTTGTCTTCACCTCCTATAAAAAAAGGGTTAGTTGCCTGCATTGCAATTTCATTTTATTATATTCTATGGAAAAGATTTGATTTTTGATCATATTTGAGAATCCAAATCTAACCTTAAGGTCTAAGTGTAATATTCTTCCGGAATTTTAACCATTTCAAAAACATCTAAAGACATTTCTATAAACTCTACCAAAATCCAAATATTATTATGAAAATCACATTCACTTCACATGCATTTTGTAATTAAAATGAATCTGTCTACTTTGATCAAAACAGACCAACAGAGAGGAAATTATTCATATGAAGCATTATCCCTATAAACTTAACCTTTGTTACATTGCACTGCCATTAAAAGATACTGCTGTAAAATCTAGATATTATTTTTTGCAAATCTAATTGTGCTTTGGTTTCACATTTACGATATTATTTTTAAGAAAAAGAATTTATTACTACAAATACAATCTATGTGAATTATGACAGTAGTAATAATCCTTTGAATAGAATACTGTAATTAATAAATAAAAAAATGATAATAATAACAATACATGTATAAAGTGCCTCTTCATAAGATACAAAGCAAACTATGGGGTCTATTAAAAGAATCAATATGATATCTACACCATAAGTCCATGCTCATATCAAGAGAAGTTAATTTTTGTTAGAAATGAATGCATGACTCTGGTGCACATTTCAATAATTCACCACTGAACTATGAAGTATTTGCAGCTTTTCATAGGTACGTACATGCATGAACCAAGACAATTTCTTTGAAAGCTCTTCATTTCTCAAAGACAGGAATAGATCCATTGTCTGCTTGCTAGCCAGGAGCTTTTAAGAGGGATAAAGCAAGACACAAGATATCGCCCATAATGGCTCGTAATTTGAGAGTCGACTAATTCTAAAGAGCATGCTCAGGATTAGGGGACACTTCATGATGTAAAGCGAAACCACTCACAAGTCCCAACCTCCAATGTAAAGAAGAAAAAAATGAAGAGTTTGAGGTTCGGGAGGACAAGTGATTGGCATGGTCTCTGAACCATCTCAAAAAGAGGAAAAGCAGAATCGATATTCTTTTTCTTGACAAGCCTCCCTTGAGACATTAAACTGGCGTTGGTTTGGTGGACTGAGAGACCCGTGGATTGACTTTCACTGACAGGTCACTCTGGGTCACGAGTCGTCATCTCAACAGCCTTTGAAGGAAGTTGACCTAATTTTAAAGATTTGTTGTCTTTATTTATGACATTTATTCATCTTATTACACATTCCTAAATGCAGATTTGAAATGATAATTACAAGAAGAAATAGCTTTAATTTGAAATATATATATATATATATATATTGACATGTACATTTACAACAAAGGACATCTAAATTAATAACCTTTTATTTCTTTTTTATTTGATAATTCAGATTGATCTTTCTCACTTCCATTTTGCCATTCTGTTAAAAAAAAAAGGTAAAAATGAGAAAACATCCCTGACTCTCTTTGCCAGCCTTGACTGATGCTAGTTGAGAGGATGGGAAAACAAGATGATTGGCTTTTAGATGTATTTATTTCTAGATCACACATCTTCACTGGCCAATAATACCATCAATATAAATGTGAACAAATCCTTACAATGGCAGTTTCGATCGACTTTCAAATGAGGATAAAATAGTATGTGGGGAAAAATCAACCAAACATGAATGATACAGTCACTCTTTTCAAAGCATATTGCACAAGGATAATGGAACATGAGGCATCATCAATCTATTGATGTTATGGAGTTAAGTATGTGTTATACTTCTCAGTTCCATAATTGGCTAGGTTTATCATTACTTGCAGGGAGTCATCTTCAAAAACACTGCAAATTAAAACTGCTTACATTTGTTACAAGTATGTTGTTATTGAAATGTAAGGTAAACAAGTGCTTTTTTATTAGTATTTGAGGGATATTCATAAGTGGCCTATCTTCTCATATTTCCATATGACCCTACAAAAACTTTGAGCTAAGTATTAACCACCCACTAGCTATCTAACCACACAAAAACAACTTGTGTTGGCCTTTCATGCCATTTTCCATCTCAATAAAAAAAGTGCTTAGTCCCAGATGCCCCCTTCTGCGTCCTCTAAATGTTTACCTGTAATCCTGTTTGCACAGAAGCTGCAAGGGAGTTATTAAACATGCATATCACATACAAGGAGTGCGAGAAAGGATAATACGGGAAAATCCCTCTCAACTTGTGATGGCTAAGCACTTGAGAGTTGTAAGGCAATCAAAGGTATTATAAACACAGACGCTTTAAGGCATGGCCTTTACAGAGTCGTGAAAATACTCTTGGAGAGTTCACCACTCCAGCAGTCCAAGGTCACTAATATTGCTAAGTTATCACTATAAAGCATGCAGGAAACTTGATAAAGGCAAAATAGAAAGAAAATCTGACAGGACAGCTTTCTAATGGACTGAGAAGGATAACTCATCAAAAAAAAAAAAAAAAAAAAAATGTGGGACAAAACTTCCTATCATTAAGTAATACAGGGGTGATAATGAGCACTTTTTCCCCCTTAATCATGCCCCCCTTGAGTAAAACAAAAACAAAAAGAGGATTTGGGGTGGGGGAATGGCATCTAACAACATTCCCCACCCCCTTTTGAATAAGAAAATTGGGGAAATATCTGGAAAATAGGGAAGAATAGAGAAAATAAGGGAAAAATCGGGAAGAAAAAAAAAGAAATAAAACAAAATCTGGAAGAAAAAAAATAATCTGAAAATCAATTTAAATCGGATAATTATTAGGCCTGGTCGTAGTGATAATTATAAAAAAACAGGAGAAAGATTCTTAACAATCACCAGAAAACCTAGAAGTTTATCATACTTCTAAAGACTTGTTGATGATTCATTTTCATTACTTTCAGAAATAGATGGTCGCATACAGCATAATTATCTTCTGCGCTATGTAAAGCTACTGGGTAATTGCCATATGTCAGCGCTGTTTCGAGAACATGATTTACATGACATTATGTAAAAGGGTTAATGCATGCTTTTCTGCCACTACCTCAAAAAAGGTATCTGAGAGACATTTTCTTATTTATATGCATGAATTGTTACTTAAAAGTACCATTCCACAAAAAAAATATTCATGCAAAGTTTTGCATTATTTTATTTATAATATCTGTTCAAACACAATACCCACTACCCAGAAGCAGTTGTTAACAAAGTGAGTTTTCAGGAAGGTATTTCTTGAACGAATGTACAGCTAGAGCTGGACACAAAGAAAGCATCAATGCTGATTTAAATCACTGATCATAATGATGTCATATAAAAATCAGTGATTTAAATCACTCTTTTCTATTGCATGATTTAAATCACAAATACCACAAAAACCATAAATGATGTAAAAGTAAGGTAATACTTACACTAAAACATGATACAAGACTGCCATCCATCCTGCGGGCCTCTCCAGAAAGTTATAAATCCGAGTTTGAACTTTCCTAAATCTTGCATCTCTCTTGGAAACCCTGTAATTGAGCGGCTTACCCAGCAAGCTCATACGCTGCTGGGCCAGCCGGGCATGGGTACTCGACGACCGCCCGTTCATCTTATTAAACTCCTGTTTGACTTTCTTACGCATCTCCGAATGTTCGTCATCGTCAAACTCGTCTTCGTCCTCGTCCGCCACTCCCAAGAAGCCCACCTTGGCCCGCTGGGGCCGGCTGGACAGCGCGGACTTGGCCGGCTTCTTGGCGGTTGTCGTCGTCGTGTCGGTAGGGGCGTCATAGTCCGCTTGGGTGTCGCTACTGCCGCCCGGGTGAAGGGGTTGCATTTCGGTTTCGTCGACACCGCTATCGGCAGACATTTTGACAACGCACGGTCCGGGGTCCTGTTGGGTGCCAGTTTAATCTGGTTACCCTCCACATCTGATGCAGAAAATGGCTCAATTCCTCGGCAAAAGTAGGAAGAGAAAACTGCTTTAAAAAGTACTCCTCCACTCTCCTTGCTCTGACAACAGATCCAAATATCAGTTTCTAGGTTTGACAATAAGCTCAATTATCTATTCAAAGTTCTCATTGTCAAAAGTTATTGTTCCAGCAGATCACCTCACATAGTATTCCTTATCATCCTTAAGTTTCAAATTCACTCATTTAATTCCACACTGAATTGGTCAGTCTTCACTTCTTGCAATCTAAGATCTGAAATTGAAAAATGAACAGTTATCATTATGTTATCAGCTATGAACTTTATAAACATGTTTTTTCTTTCTTCAGTTTGCTTTTTAAATAGAGGAGTAACTTTGTTGAGCAAGATATTTTTAGAATCTGATGAATTAATTTTAAATTGTTTACCAATAAGTTAAATTTATGGAATATGGAAGTATAAGGTAATCTACTGAGAGTCAGAAAGACAATATAAGTCTAAATGAACATGGTATTAATTAAGTAATGCCCTTCTCGTTTTGAAAAGATAAAATTGATGTCACCACATGTGCAACCTGGGCCCAGTTTCGTAAAACTTTTTATCAACGATTTTATCAATGATATCTGTTATAAGCTACTGAAATTGTGGTATCTGATTGGCTGAGAGCACATTGGTCATAGAAATGTAGCATTTGTTATTAATAACAAGTTTCATGAAACAGGGCCCTAGCTAGCTGTACCTTACTTGGTTGTTATAGATCCTTGAAGAGTAATAGTAGTTATACGATGTGTCCGTCCGTGTGTTTGCTCAATTGTATGTTTGTTTAGCAGACCTGTATGAAAACAGAAAGAGACAGAGAGAGAGAAAGGGAAAGTTAACATCATTTGATGAACAAGAAGCAGATTATTATATATATATATATATATACGTGAAGATAGAATTGTAATCACAAGGCCTACTAAAGGCCTTGTTATGATATGATGCGGAAAACCGTCGAAAAGGAAGATGAAGAAAAAACGTCAGGCTTTTTCCAGTGTAAATGGATGGCAACTGTGCAGAGCAAAGGTCCTGCAGGTATTAACTGAGCTCTCAGTGTGTTCTAAGATACAGAAATGTGACGCGTATTAGACTTTACGTCATCATTAGAAAAAACAGGTGCTTTTTTGCTGCGTCATATCTGAATGAGTTTAAGAATCAATGCCTAGCTGCCCCTGATTTCCTTGTATGGTTAAAAGATCTATATAAGAATAATACCTATTGGTGAGACTTTTGAGAAATTTCTTGAAAGATTGCAATATATTATATCTCTGCTTTAAACTTGTTTAGCTTAAGAACTGAAGATTTTCCTCAGATGATGCAAAAATATTCTTTATTTCTTGTCAAGGTAAATGAGAGAACTCTTCACTTGACCAAGAAGAACATTTCAAAGATGTATGATGGATTCACATTTACATAACGATACAATGCATGAGGTATGTCATTTACATGGTTAAACATCAAGAATTTATAACAACTTCTCAAGAAATACTTGAATTGCAAGTCTTAAACATTACCTTTATTAAAGATCAAAGGGTAATAATATCTTACTTAAGCAATTTCTGTTCAGCTGCTCAAATTAATAACTGTGCCATGTATCAAGAAAAAATTACAAAATAGCAGGTGATCATATTTCCTTGACGACTAGATTAAAGAAAAATATTTTCAGAAATTTGGGAGAGGAAGAAGACATCAGAGAGGAGAAGAAAGAGAGTAAGAGAGAGACAGTGAGAGAAAGAGAGAGAAATAGAGAGAGAGAGAGCAAGAGAGGAGGCATAAAATCAATGTCATACTAAGAATGTTTTTAGTTGGTCAGGTAAAAATCAATACCTGTCATTCACATACAAAAAGCCATATTTCAATGGTCTTTTAAACCTTTGGGTATTTAGTATACATGTGGCTTTTCCGTATCCCTAAAAATAGAATGTCTTTTTATCCTTAAGATTGATTACATCTCAACAAACATACATGAATGCCATCTGTAGGGTTGTTGTCCAACTAAACACACAATGGTAATGTATAAAACAACCCATGAAAGCTAAACACCCTGTCAGGTTGAGAATAAATAATATCATTCAAAGAGAGAAATGATAAAAGGTTTCTTCTCTCGACAAAAAAGAATCTTAAGCCCCTGAAAGGTCTTTCCGTCACTTTGACTTCTCCTCACTCCATATCCTGTTGGTATTCCAAACGTCGCAGGACGCCACAACCCATCAAGGCCCGCCATGTCACTTGACGACCACCGCTCTCACCCCCGTGGGAAATTCCGCATCAACACATTTTACGAAACATTTGAGGACTAATTCTTATCTGGAGGGTGCTTTCACTAAGCCTGCCCCTCGCATCGAATACGTGAGGCGTATATAGACGTGACTCTACATCCAAATGATGGGAAAATAGAAGGTCTCCTTGACTCTTATGATGGAGCTAGACAACTCGGATCAACAACGACCGACTTGAGTATACTAGAATGTGACAAGATGCTTCAAGCACACAACGACTTTCTTATTTGTATGTGATGTCATGTTCGCATGGATCACTCTGATCCCTACATCAAAAACACTTTGGATGCATTGCCAATTTGGATTGCTCTCTGGTGTGCTTTCATGCCAAACACACATTACATGTCATAGCATAAAGATGTAAATTAAAGGTAAAATGCAATGTTGGTCGTGAGTTTGATGAGCAAGATATATATGACTTTGATCTATGGTTACTGCTTGATGTAGGACCACGAAGCTAAAGCTTTTATTTTGAAGAAAAAACAAAAATATCAGTCTTCCAAAGGCCTTTAACACATTCTACATTAAAAAAAAATGAGTCTCTATTATCCAGCCCCACATACATTATTTTCCTTTATTCAACAGTATTCTCTCTTTAGGAAATTAATTAGCACTTTTTCAGCTAGTTGGTTAAATTGAATGAAACTCCCATTAGTGAATTCTAAACTCAAATTAGTCACATGGCATACCATTATCAAGCAAACAACGAAACAATATGCCATTTATCATGCAAGGAGAAGATGAACCATGCATGTTAACTCCAGAAATTACATTCCTAATTAAGGAGTGGAACCAATACAGGAAATTTAACAACTGAATATCCTGGAAAATGGAAGCATTTTAATTGAAGATAAAAACTTACAAAGAGTTATGACATGCCCTCCTACATGGAGATAACAAAGAAAAATGAAGGAAAATCATTTTAAGTTAACCTTCTTTGACATTCTTTCATTGCAAAACAAATAAAAAATAGTTAAGAAGACACAGCAATTTGTGTGCTCACTGCATATTAACTAGATTATGTAGCTACCTATCAAGTTGTGAATGGGTTTTACTGTAAGGTCAGAGTACATCATTAATGTTTCAAAATATATTATGCAAAACTATTGGCATTTGCCTGGACATATTTGTCAATTTTCGTTCCTTTCCTACAGCAAAAGAAGATAGCATGGTGAAACTTAATGCAGTGTTAGGGCAGCCACAAAAAGCAAACACTTGTGTAGAAAGTTAAAGTAAAAAACAAAAAATATCTTAAAGACCGTCAATACTACTGGGCCAGAAGGGATTAGACCACATAGCGAGGTCACTGACAGGTGGCTATCTCATTAACTCAGCTCTCAACTAACATAAGAAAAAGAGGATCATGGGGGACCAACAGGCCAATTGGGGAAGTTTTCTACATAGAGGAAGCAAGTAGTTACAAGTAGGACAGTGGGGCTTTAAGTCTGATAGTATATCCTTGACTTGTGTAGAAAGAAGTATTTGAAATTATAATTTACAATGTAAGGTTGCCAAATGGACAAAAAAGAAAAACCCTCTTCTAACACAGTAAATGTTATTACAACTTTTGTTATTCCTCTTAAAACACATTTCCAAATTATTTTCTACTAATGTATAAGATCCACCCTTAAAATGTTAAAATATTCTTCTTAAAATATTATTCTAAAACAGAACACATGATATCTGCAATAGTATTAGATTTCAAGGCTGGCTATTCCTCCCCTCTCTGTGCTTTTGGGCCTCGAAAACTGGTTATTGTTACTCCAAACACGTTTCACATTAGCTTAAAATCATGGCTGAGATTTACCGCTCACGGCATCGACATGATCGTCTGGAAAGACAGCCCATCACGGCCAAAATCACATCATGTTGCCACCTCTCCTTCAGGAAAATAGATCAAACATAAGTACCATAACATCACCCCCGTGCCTGGGTGAATCCCTCGTATTAACACCTTCCTCGATATAATTTGAGTCTGGGGTAATATAGATGGAATGAGTTTTGATGAAGTTTGAAAGTGTTGTCAGCTCTAGTTGCACAAACAAGGCTCAATTCCAATTCCATAATCTGCATTTGTTAGGGGGTCTGATTACCTCAATTGAAGTGCAAATTTGTCTCGCTGCATCCACACTTAACCTTCATACTCGCTACAAAGTGACCAAACAGCCAATGAAGAGTATGTATTATTATTGAAAAAGCGGCATTCATTAATGTTAGGAGGAAATTTCAATTTGACGGGGAAAATACATACATCTTCTTTGCAAAAGCTAAAGTAAAATAAAATGAAAAATATCTTGAATCTGACAACATATCGTTGACTTGAAAGGAAAGGCTAGCTACACTAAAGAAGATTGAATAATTGTGAAGAAAAATCATATTTTAAGAATTTATGGTAATTTGTGAAAAAATTAAGTTTTACATTCCCCCCCCCCCCCCTTGCACAGCACATTATGCAACTGTATCAAACTGAAGTATGACTCTTACAGAGTTCATACAACACATTCGGTTTACATTTTCACAAATATGTATTTCTCCAGAGAGTATTTTTACGGTCTACAGGATTACAAGCCCCATTACATGGTCCGTTTAGAGAATAATAAAGACATTAAAATAGAATTTGATCGCTGGCTACACCAAGCTAATTCACTTTTTATATATTGTAATAGTATAATGGCCTTTTTATACAAGTCTATTTTCAATGTCTTTTTGATTATACAAAAGGTAAGTGACATTTCATTCAACTCAACCACCTCATATTACAAATACCCCATCCTATAATCATAGTTACAACTCCATCTTTCAAATCGTTCAAATCTTCATTTGCAAGTTACTGTCTTACAAACTTGTATGAAAACCCTACGGTTAACATTGGTACCGCAGATTAAGGTAAGTAATAAATTCGAGGAGTATTTCATTATTATTCAACACACATTTTACATGGATTTTATCTAGTTTTATCTAAGGCTTCCAATCAAACAAGAACTGTCACCAGCATGACAAAATTCAAGAATTTTACAAGTTGTTCAGTTTTACAAAAAATTTAAAGCCACAAAAAATTGACTCACAACTGATACAACACACAAATTTTGCATTCTTTTTGCCAAAGTTTCTTGACGTGAAAATGGCCGTCCTTTTCATTAAATCAAAATTCATGAATCTTTTTTACGGTTTGACAATCGTTTCCAATCGCTTCAAGGACTTGCGTACAAGGGTTGGAGTTACTTCTCTGTGACAAAGCTAATAATGTGGCATGTAGGTACTTGCAAGTCTGAAGCTGTAAGACTAGAGAGTCCTGATCATAAAATCAAGTTGTGTCTCTGAAGAGTCGTTAGAAGTACTCTCACCCTAACTATACATCCCCTCTTAACTCTTGCCAAATGGCTGCCATATTACCTAGAATAAAGCACACTAAGGACCCTCCCACACAAGAGAAATAAAGTTGAAATGATGTTACCTGCCCTGAGCGAGAGAGGTGTTAAATCAAACTCTTTAAAGATCATGTTTAGGCCTGGGCC